AAGCTTCAAGATAATAAAATGATCAACATGCACATTAGGTCCAACTCTACTTGCTATCAATTATCTGTATTGATAAGAAAATAACACTGAAAGGAGTTTAATAAACAAACATATTTTATTTCAAAAGGCAGTCTATTCTAATGTGATACATACAGATAACTCAGACTTCAGATGAATACACTGATTTTTAAAAATATGTCTGTTGCACAGAGTTTTAGGATTTCATGGAAGTAGAGCATCTTGCAAGCTAAAAGAGTTACTCATGTTTTGCGGAGGGTAAAATATTAAGTCTTATTTATATTCCAATGCAACTCTTTCGTTTAGCTAATTGAAGATTGAGGCTTTTTTCTTTGAAAATGAGTTAAAATTTTAATGCAGTAAAAAGCATAATAGGAAATTTGAATTTTAATCTGGCATTTCTGTAACTATCTATGGAACATCAGAGCAGTTAACAACCTCTCCATGTATCTAATTATAATCTCTGGAAATAGCACCTGTATGTCCACTTATTTATGCATTCAATAAATATTCATTGACCATCCGATATATGAAATAGACTGGTTTGACCAAGACAGGTAAGCCCCTTCATTTATGATGCTTACATTCTAATTGGAAGGGGAGAAACAGAATAAACATGTAAACAAATAATATAATACCAGAAAGTTATAAGTGCTATGAGGAAAATATGAGATGGTGGGATAAAAAGTGACAAGGGTAGATTTAATGGTCAAAGGCTGTTCTGAGGAAATAATTTTTAAGCTGTGATGATGAGGAAGCCATTTGGAGATCTGGTGAAAGGGTTTTCATAATGAACGAATTACAAATACAAAAGCCCTGTTGCAAGAACAAGCTTAGAATGTTCGGGGAACAGAGAAAGTGATAGGTGGAATGAGAGAGTGGTATGACATGATGTTAGAGAAGTAGACACAGATTAATTCTACCTACTGGATTTTCAAAAACACCTTTGTTGAGGTATAATTGACATACATTAAGTTGCCTGTATTATTTTCTGAGGGCTGCCATAATGGATGAAATTGTGTCTTAATTTCTCTTTCTGATAGTTTGTGGTTGGTATATAGAAGTGCCACAGATTTTTTTTTTACATTAACTTTGTATCCTGCGACAATATTGAATTCATTTATTAATTCAAACAGGTTTTTTGTTGTTGTTGTTGTCTTTAGGGTTTTCTATATATAGTATCATGTCATCTGCAAACAGCGGTAATTCTGCTGCTTCCTTTCTGATTTGGATATCTTTTTATTCTTTTTCCTGCCTAACTTCTCTGGCTAGGTCTTCCCATACTATGTTGAATAAGAGTATTGAGAGTGGGCATCCTTATCGTTTAACTCAGAGGAAAAGCTTTCAGCTTTTCATCATTGAGTGTGATGTTAGCTGTGAGTTGTCATATAAGGCTATTATTATGTTGAGGTATGTTCTCTCTATAACCAATTTGTTGAGAGTTTTTATCATAACAGGATGTTGAAAAATTTCAAAAACTTTTCCTTTGTTGAGATGATCATATGCTTTTTTCCCTTCCTTTCGTTGATGTGGTGTATCAGCATTGATTAATCTGCAGATGTCGAACCATCCTTGCATCCTTGGAATAAATTCCACTTGATCATGGTGTATGATTCATTTAATGTATTGTTGAATTTGATTTGCCAATATTTTGTTGAGAGTTTTTACATCTATGTTCATCAAAGATATTGGCCTGTAATTGTGTGTGTGTGTGTGTGTGTGTGTGTATGGCATTCATGTCTGGTTTTAATATCAGGGTAATGCCAGCCTTGTAAAATGAGTTTGGAAGTGTTCCCTGCTCGTCAATTTGTTGGAAGAGTTTGAGAAGGGTAGATTTTAAATCTTTGAATGTGTGGTTGAATTCACCAGTGTGGCCCTGTTTGTTGGAAGATTTTTGATTAGTGATTCTTTCTTTTCACTAGTAATCAGTCTATTCCGATTTTCTATTTCTTCATAACTCACACTTGGAAGGTTGTATATTTCTGGAAATTTAGCCATTTATTTGTCTAGGATGTCTGATTTTTTGGCCTTTAATTGTTCATAGTAGTCTCTTATGATCTTTTGTATTTCTGTGGTTTCAGTTGTAATGTCTCCTCTTTCATTTCTGATTTTATTTTAATCTTCCCTCTTGGTAAATCTAGCTAAGGGTTTGTCAATTTTATTTATTTATTCAAACATTGAACTCTTAGTTTTATTGATATTTTCTATTGTGTTTTTAGTCTCTTTCTGCTCTGATCTTTTCTTTTTTCTACTAACTTTGGGCTTCATTTAGTCTTTTTATAGTTCCTTTAGTTGTAAAGTTAGGTTGTTTACTAGAGATTTTTTTAATTCATGAGATAGGCCTGTGTTTTGCTATGAATGGCCCTCTTTAGACCACCTTTGCTGCATCCCATCGATTTTAGTATGTTGTGTTTCTGTTTTCCTTTGTCTGTAGGTATTTTTAACCTCTCCTTTGATGTCTTCAATGACCCATTGGTTGTTCAGTAGTATGTTGTTTAATCTTCACTTTTTTTGTGTGTGTTTTTTTTTTCCAGTTATTTTTCTCATAATTGATTTTTGCTTTCATTCCATTGTGGTTGGAAAAGATGCATGATATATTTCAGTCATCTTGAATTGATTGAGACTTGTTTTTTGGTCTAATATATGATCCATTCTGAACAATGTTCCATGTGCACTTGAGAAGAATTTATAATCTGCTGCTTTGGATCGAATGTTCCTTGTATGTCTATTAAGTGCATCTACATTTGGTCTAATGTGTCGTTTAAGGCCCATGTTTCCTCACTGATTTTCTGGATGATCTATCCATTGATGTAAGTGCAGTATTAAAGTCCCCTACTATTATTGTAATGCTGTCAATTTCTCCTTTGATTTTGTTAATATTTGCTTTGTATGTTTTGGTGCTTTTGTATTGAGTGTATATTTATAAATGTTTATATCTTCTTGCTAGCTTTACCCTTTTATCATTATGTAATGCTGTTCTTCATTTTTTATTACGGCTTTTATTTTAAAGTCTATTTTGTCTGAGTATAACTACACTAGCTTTCTTTGTGTTTCCATTTGCATGGAACATCTTTCTGTATCCCCTCTCTTTCTGAAATGAATCTCTTGTAGCCAGCATATAGATGGGTCTTGTTTCTTATCCATTCAGCCATTCTATATTTTTGATTGGAGAATTTAGTCCATTTATATTTAAAGTAATTATTGACAGGTATGTACTTGTTGTCATTTTGTTCATTGTTTTCTGGTTGTTTTTGTAGTTTCTCTCTGTTGCTTTCTTATTCTCTTTCTCTCTTCCCTTGTATTTCTTGTGCTTTGATGGCTTTTTTTTTTTAGCGTTAGGTTTTTATTTCTTTTTCGTTTTCTTTTATGTATTTACTATAATTTTTGCTTTGTAGTTACCATGAGGTTCATATGTAACATCCCATATATATAATGGTTTGTTTTATATTGATATCAACTTAAATTTGAGCATCTTTCAAAACTTTACATTTGTACTCCCACTCTCCCATCTGCTACATATTACATTTTTGATGTCAATTTACATCTTTTTATTTTATGCATCCCCTAACTAGTTTTAGTTAACTTTGCTACTTTTGTCTTTTAACCTTCCTACTTTATAAATGATCTATTTATTACCTTTACTATACATTTACTTTTACCAGTGAGATTTTTACTTTTGTATGTTTTCTTGTTATTAATTTGTGTCATTTCTTTTCAGCTTAAAGAAGTCCCTTTGACATCTCTTATAAGGCTGATGTAGTGGCGATGAACTCCTTTAGCTTTTGTGGGCCTGGAAAACTCTTAATCGCTCTTTCCATTTTTAATGATAATCTTGCCATGTAGACAATTGTAGGTTTGAAGTTTTCCTTTCATTACTTTGGATATGTTATGTGAGAAATGGGAAAGGTGAAACTAGAGATATAAAATAGATTTTGGAAAACTTTGTAAATAATACCAAAAAGTTTGGACTTTTTTCTGAGGGCAATGGGAAATTCTCTGAACTTTTGGCATATTTTGTTATAGTGAGGAAAATGTATTGAAAGGAGTAAAATTGATTTAATAACTATGGAGATGGAGAAAACTGTATGTTGGTTTTAAAAAATTCAACAATTATTTATTCATGTACTCCCTTAGCTATTTAGGTATTCAACAAATATAATGACTGCCTACTATGTACTAGGTATTGTGACTAAACGTTTCTTAAATAAATAAATGTTGAATTATTTTAAATTAGTTATCATTTATTGAACACTTATTATATATCAGATACTGTTAAGTGCTCTACATAAATAAGGATGTTACCTTTAAGTAGATGAAGAAACTGAAGTAAAGAGAGCTCAAGCATATCAATGTCATATAGCTGGTAAATGGCAGAGACAGGATTTGATTTCAGATCAGTTCGACATCTTATCGGATTTGGTCATTCACTTAAATGACTATTGTTTTACATGTAAATTTTATTTATTTATTTTAATCTAAAGAAAAACAACAAAATATGTGAACTAATTAACTTTTTTGGTTTTAATCAGCAACATATATACCAGTTATCCTGGATTTCCATAAAGAAGTTGTCTTTGCTTTGTAGATGAGTAATAATTTTATATATCTCTAAATGAGTACTTTGGTAAAATTTGGGGCACTCAAGCCCCAAATAAATTTTCATTCCCATGTCTCACTTAGATAATAAGATTTTTTCCCTTCTGTGTATATCCTTTGTTAATATTTATTAAAAGGGTAATTTTATTTTGAAATAGGAGAGAGGGGAATTTATGCTGCAAAAATATCAGTTTCCAGAGGAAGATGTTGTGAAATTGTTTATCTAAACACCTTTCATTTGGGGTTCAGTATGAATTTTCAATAGACGTTTTTCAGATAAGGAAGCAGTAATTCAAACGCAATTATACAAACAAGAAGATCAGAGAGGAATTATCCTAGAGAATATAAAATGGACCAAGAGCTCTTCGTCTGAGTCGTTGCAGCATCGGCTCACCAATGCAAAGAAAGGTAGGTGTCTATGCTGAGAAGGCTCTGTGAAAGGGATGTGCTTATTCTAAGTTTTTTCACTTTCACCATTTTAGCATTTATTCAAAAATGGCAAAAGCTGAGTGGTAATTTGTTCAGATAGGCTCTGAGAATTTTAATTATTGTTCCCCAAAAGTTCAATGTTGAATGAAGTTGAGTGAACTACATACACGAGGCTAAGAAAAAAATTTCATTGACTTGAAGAGGAAAAACTGGTCATTTCTCTAATGAAAGCTGATCGATGTTCATGATTTTCCTATTTACATTTTGGTTTAAATATTTTTGTCAAAGGATAATCTGTTCATTAAATCCTCTTTACTAATTACTAATAATTATCTTTGATGACAATATCTTTTTGGGAAAACTTAAATTCAATTTTGAGTACCTGGAGGTGTAATTTACTCTGTGTTATTTTAGTTATTTAATAGCTAAACTACCTTGGATAGTATCTGCAGCACATACCTGCCTTATAGTACATTTTGCTCTCTAGAAAAATGTATTGCTTTAGTAAATTTCCTGGATTGTTTATAGGGTGGGCAATTAATTCTTTTCATAGTATAGTAAGGGATTTGGAGAGAAAGGTTTGGTGAAGGAAATTAGCAGAGCAGAGAAAAATGTGGTTTTTAAGAATGAAGGTAGTGAGAGCAAAAAAAAAAAAGAAAGAAAAAAGAGAGAGCAAAGGAGGAATAAGAGTCAAAAGAAAAAAGCTGTCTTACAATAAGGAAAAACATTGAAAGTGTAGACATATATGGTTATGACACTGGAAAAGTTATTTAGGTCCTGAAATCATGCCTTCTGTGTTTAGCTGTTCATTAATAATTTAAAGGCAATTACGTTGCAGAGGTGAGAATCCAGGTGATAAAAGAAAAATCGTGGCAGATCGTGTACGCACGGTTCCATCGTCTTCTGTAGCATTCCAAGTACTTCACGTGTATTGTTTTATTCTTTTTTATGAATTTTGGAAGGGGCAAGTAGAAAAATGAAGGTACAAAGATATTAAGTTGCTCATTTACACACAATTACAATGAAATCTGGAAGCAGAATTCTAGATCAGTTAACTTTTAGACAAGGAGTCTGACACTAATTTATCACATGGAACCATGACTGTGTTGAAAAGGCCTTCCTGATCATCTTCTGATTCTGAGCTCTCCTTTTCTAGATGAGGAACTTGAGGCCAAGAAAGATCCTGTGGATGAAGTTTTACTAGTTGCAAAAAAGGAGAAAAAATAATTCTTACTTCCTTTACATTCTCAGTTATACAGCTACTTTGCTGATAATTTAGCACTTTTAATTTTTTCTTTTGTTAGTTTAGAGTTTTACATTTATAAAAGGAACTTTGAAAAAAAATATAGTGTTCATAACGAACATGACAAAAAATGCACAGAAGTTCCAGAACATTTTTTCATCCTACAATTTAAAAACAGATCAGGCATGCTTGTCCCTTTCTGTTTTGCAGATGGGGAAATAAGGACCAAATAGATTAAATATTTTAGTTGATTTCTCATAGATCCATAGGAGATCTTGAAATAAAATTCTTGAATGCAGTTTTCATTTTTTCTTATAAGTTAATTGAAGCCAAAATTCTGGTTAACTGAGTCTATGAAATTTCAGTTAATAGAGGTCTTAATGTATGCAGCTTAAAGATATTATTGGGATATAACTGACAGATTTGAGAAAAATCTTGATACATATTTGATGATTGAATTATAATTAATTTAATAGGATAAGCAAAAAAGTTTGCGTTCAAAGATAATAACACTACTTCATTAAAATGTGTATTTTCTTTTCTGACAATGATACTCGAGAAGGAAAAAAAATCCAAATATACCTAGCAAACATTACAATATTTGATGATAAAAAAATCTTCTTAATCTTTGAAGTGATCAACTTACATTCAAACATCTGAAACTTGATTACTCACTCTCAGTAGCAGAACTAAAATAATTATGTCATAACATTATCCAGATCATTATGATGCCCAGTTGATACTGAACAAACTCTCCCATCAGACTCTATTGAGATACATGTTCTCCTTCTGCCTGAGGCACAGTGGACCCTCTGGCGTCTTCTCTGTAGCCAAAACGTGTATTATTTCCCAGTAGATCCGCCATCCTTAGCTGTATTACTCCATTGTGTCAACTTATGCTTTTCACATCTGTAATCTTTTTAAGATAATGAGTTCATAACATCTTCTGAATAACGTAATTTTTTAATTTGTCCAATTTTACTTCTTTCAGCTTTAAAATAATAGCCTAAGAGTGGAGAAGGTGGGGTTTCTAGATTTCTGGGTTAGCTCCGTAATACCAATGGTAATTTTAGTTGATCTTTTCTGGATTTCCGTAGCTTCATCTTGTCTTCCTTGACAGGCAATGGGTAAGATTATATGTAAGATTATTTGCACTGAGATGGTAATGAAGTTTGATTACACATTTCCTTGGCTTCTTTGCCTTTCCTTTCTCATTATGACTGGTTTGCTGGCCTTTTAAGCTATTGAACCAACGTTTTTAAAAAACTACAGTTCTAAGAAAGCTCTTACTGGAGCCTAAATGTTATGATCATAGAGGCAGGGATTCGGATTATTTTCATTGAATGAATTGTTTTACACTCAGTTGACATATGTATCTCTGCCACTTTTTTGTTGTAGTGTTTCAGGCTTGCCGCTTCACTGCCCTATAGAGCTAAGTGGTACTTGCAAGCAGGATCTTCACTATGTGAGCCCTTACACAAATGTGTGGGGTTTGGGGGTCACAGGCACATCTAAGTGTATCAAGAAAGGTTATTGAGAGTATTAACTATGCAAAAACACCTAATATAGGGCCTAGGACAAAGTAGGCATTCAATAAATATACATATATGTATGTATATATATTTATATAGGTATTACTATATATATATATATTTTTTTATCTCTTTCCAAATATCCTTTTTGAATGTCCTAAAGGATATATCTAACAGATTCTTTAATTTTATCTTTGGTTTAGCATGAGTGCTCTCTTCCTGATATCCATGCTTTTTGGCCTTGCATTTGGGCAAGCAACGTCTTTCTGTATTCCAACTGAGTATATAATGCATGTCGAAAGGAAAGAATGTGCTTATTGCCTCTCTGTCAACACAACCATCTGTGCTGGATATTGTATGACACGGGTATGTAGTTCATCTCACTTATTTTAGTTGTAAATTAGATAAACCTAGACTCAATTCCTTTCTATCCAGAAAGGAGGAATTGAGATAAGCCACAACCTCATTTCCCAAATCTAATGGTTACTGGCTTCTTAGAGGTTGAGTGCACAGGTTACAATATCATGTGGATCTTCTTGGCATAATGGTACAGATAATTTTATAACAGTTTACTTCCAAACTTTATTTAAACCTTATATTATTCCCATGATCAGGGGTAAAAGGGGGTGTATGCCACTTTTGTCTTTATGGGGTTCAGTGAGGATGTGTTAAGTTGGCATTGGGGAATGGGACTATTCCCCAATGGGAATCTTCCTCCATTCCTATTTATGACAAAGGAATATAAGTGAATTAATTTTTATTTGTTTCCATTATCCATATATATTTTAAAGTCCTATCACACTCTTTTTTCTGTTCTTTCCTCAGGATATCAATGGCAAGCTGTTTCTCCCCAAATATGCTCTGTCTCAGGATGTTTGTACATATAGAGACTTTATGTACAAGACTGTAGAAATACCAGGATGCCCCCGCCATGTTACTTCGTATTTTTCCTATCCTGTAGCTGTAAGCTGTAAGTGTGGCAAGTGTAATACTGATTATAGTGACTGTATACATGAGGCCATCAAGACAAACTACTGCACCAAACCACAGAAGTCCTATGTGGTGGGATTTTCTATCTGATTTCAATAGCAATGTAATTTGCAATTCAATTAAATGTGTTTATCTGGAATAAAACTAATAACATGTCAATATACTTCACAACACATGGTGTACATTTTGAGTATTATTTTATCCATACCCGTACCCGTGCATGCATTAGAGAGCTTAGGGGCTTGAGAAGATAAGATGACTGGAAAAGGCTTTCGCGCTCATACGAAGGATGGTTGCCCTATGAGAGAGCAGTGTGCAGGTGAAATGGAGAATAGGGACATGAAATATTAATGGAAGCCAGCCTTGAGCAAACTCCCTAACAGAGGGCTGTGAAGTTTGTCTTGACATAGAAAATGAACATAGGAATACTACAGAGCTATAAGGAAGGGGTAAAGTAATCTGCAGCTGAAGGAACACTTGGCATTAGGGTACCCATTAGGTCTGAACACGAGACTTTTCACTCATGAATTAAGTATTATCTGCATTTGATATATAGTTTTCAGAGGGGATATTATATTCCTGCAGCTTTAAGTGTTCATGTTATCAAGTGATATGAGAACCCAAAGCCCCAGAGTAATAGATGGAGAACCTGCTATTATCACCTTCCAAAGTACTGGAGTGGAGATGGAGAGTAAGGAATACGGGAAATCTGCAATGTAGTACTTTATCCTGGTCGTTCAAATGTTTACCAAAACTCGTTAAATACTGTGTTCTATTCTAAGAACTATTCTCTTTAATTTAATTACTCTGGTGGTCTGACTGACTCATGAAAGTTATACCCCCAAAGCCTAGAAAAGAGGCCACGATCATTTTACATGTAGAAGTCTAAATCCTTTGTAGTCCTTCAAGTAATAGGAGACAGGTTCCAGCATTTATACCAAAAGCAACTGGTGTTGTTTCGGCTTTTGATGTCATGAAATACTAGTATGATTTTGGAAGATTATAGAGATAGGGGAAGAGTGCTAAGGGATTTAATAGAGTAGAATGATCCTAAATTGTAATATAAACCTTCATTCATATTGAAACCCTGTTGCCTGGTAAATGTGCTTGGTAAGCGGCTATGTATTTTTCTCTTTCTTCCTTAGGTACTCTTTAATGAGAGTTGGTTTCAACAGATATGTGAAGTGAGACAGGCCTAGTACCCTGCAGACTTGACCTCAGAAAGATGATTTATCCTGTATTTGTTCATTTCTCTTCATCTAAACCGTTCTCATCAGGGTGAAAATCAATTGTCAGCAGGGCTAGTTGGCTTCGCTATATCCTGGGCACTTTGCCTGTGTGCTGTCAGTTCCCCAGTGGGTGGTGAGGTGGTATAGATGGATTAGTATCAAGCACACGCTCTGCCAATGGAGAGGGAATAGTTTATATATGATGTCAGGAATTTACATTATTTTTACCTTAATATCTGAAGTTGATATTAAGGGTCTCCGAATATTAATCTGGGGCTTTTGGTTCTCACGTTACTTGATAACATGGACACTTAAAGCTGCAGGATTATAATATCTTCTCTGAAAATTGTCTATCAAACACAGATATTTGATTATTGAATAAAAATTCTAATGTTCAAACCTAACTGGCACTAATCACATATGACTTTCATGGTACCCGAAATGTATTTTCGAGGACTCGAACGATGGAAAGGCTGAGAGGTTTAGGGAGGCCCTTGTAAGTAGTCCAGTTCAGAAGACATGGCTTACACGGGCTTACTTTGCCTGGGGAGAAGGCTAGATGTCGTAATGGATGAGGTGGGCCAGTGCCATCATGGGCCACAGATCCCATCAGAGACAACTTGTTTCCTCTCACCAATGGCAACCCATTTGGGATAGATGCACATATAAATTATATTAAACTATTCTTGAAAGTGGAGTTGCCCAAGACAAAGAATCTTTAGGAGAGAGTTCAGGGATGGACATGACCAACAATTTGCCTCAACGGGATCCAGAAACTTGGATCCTTGGAAATGCTGTTTTGGAGGGTATTGGCAGTCTTTGGGTTTAAAAGACGGAGAATGAATAGAGAACTTAGGAATGGGAAAGTGTAGAATCAGTGCTTGTGTAATAAGAGAAAGATGGAAACTTTGGCATATCTTCTAAAGTGGTCTTTAAATTCAGCCTAAAGTTTAAAGGAGTCAGTTCTGGGCAGAGGAAGTTTGAGACTCAGTGTTTTTTTTTTTTTCCTAAATCCTTCTTGTTTCTCATTTGATCCTGCAATATAAAGAGTTATTTCATAACTAAATGGACTTGGGATCAGGACAGCAGCTATCTCTGCTCTTCTGATGGCCAAACCCTTTAGGAGTAAGTGAATGTAATAGGATAGATATAGTGGCAAGTAATAGCATAATGCTTCCTGATGATAGAAAATTTAAGCAATAACAGTTCTCTTTTATATAAGAAATTGCCCCTCTTACCATCCTCTTTGAGCAGCAAGTCTGCGTCTTGAGTGCAGTGAGAATTCTTTTATCGAGGTAGCTTCCAGGCTGAGGGTATTATTCCGTGCAGGTTCTTCCCTACCCTCTTACCGCTCCTGGCTCATTCCTATTTATCTTTTAAAACAGCTCTGTGTCACTTCCTCTACTTCTGTTACCCTCCCTCCTGTTGTTTTTGCCTGCCTTGCATCCATGTCCCTTCTGGTAGCTGTACCTTGATTTCTTTGGGGGTTCTCTCTACCCTTATTTTCAATGAAATAGATATGATTTGAGTGGGGCTAATGAGGGTGGGCATGCTACTTAGGCTCAACTAAGCCAGATGATTAAGGGATGGACATGTGACCCAATCTCTTCAGTAGGAGTCAGTCCCAGGGCTTCTGCTGTAACTTTTGGACAAAGAGAAGTACATGGCCTAAGTCAGGGTTCCCACGCTGACAGAATGTGAGCCTAGACTGCCGGCCATCTCTGTCCTCTCTTGCAGATGGCCTGCCTGAGAATAAAGCCAGCCCAGAGGGGAGCAAGCGGGAGTAAGAAGAGAGAGACCTGTTGATATTACTTGAGCATAATCTGAAGCCAACTTTAACTCTTAAATCATAACTTTCCTTTTCTGCTTAAGCTAGTTAGAATTGGGTTTCTGACAGTTGCAACTTCAGAGTATTGACAGATTCAGCATCTTTATTACTAGTTTCAAAAGATGCTGCCGATCCCATCCTGCACTTCCTCTAGAATCTTACTGTTTCCTCTGCATCTGCTCTCGCCTCTTCTTTGCTGAACTTTGCTCCTCAGTGTGAAGCAGTCTTCAATCTCTTCTCATACTAAGCAGAGAAAAACAAAAGCAAAAACAAAGAACAACCCTCTCCTGACCCCGTAAACCTTCTATTTGTTTGCCCCTCTCTCCTTGAATTTTTATTCCAGTTTCTTTGGGAAAGAGCCCTATGTAGCCAATTTTGGCTGCTATAACAGAATGCCACAGGCTGGCTAGCTGATAAACAACAAGAATCTATTTCTCACAGCTCTGAAGTCTGGGAAGTTCAAGATCATGGTGACAGCATGGTCGTATTCTGGTGACAGCCCTTTTTCCTGGTTCACAGCCAGCGCCTTCTCTCTGTGCCCTCAGTGGTGGAAGGGGCAAGGGATCTCTGTGGGATTTCTTTTATGAGAACACTAATCCATTCATGAAGATGCTGCCCTCGTGGCCTGGGCATCTCCCAAAGGCCCCGCCTCCTAACGTCATATCAGGCATTAGGATTTCAACTTATGAATTTTAGGGGGACACAAACATTCAGACCACAGCAAGCTCCCTATGTGAACCATTTACTTTCTCACTTCTCATTCTCTTCTCAACCGGCTACAATTTGACCTCCACTCCTATCTTCCTTTGCAACTGTTTTCAGTAAGGTCAACGGTGACTTGTTAATGGTCCAACATACAGGACACTATTTAATTCTGACCTTGCCTGACCTTATTTCTTCCTCAGTGGAGCCAGTGGAGGTCACATATCTGGGTTCACAATGTAATACATCCATGGCATGTATAACCAGTCCCAACGAGGCTGAAGTCAACAATTTCCTCCTTCTATGCCTTTTTTTCCTACTGTTTTTTTCTAAAATGACTCAAAATCTATGGTATGGTCGTTAGCAGGCAACAGTAACGTAATTCTGGACCGTACTTCCTTTTGCGACTGTAACTTTGCTTGGTGCTGTAGGGGTGAAGACTGTAAACTTTGTGGCTAGTAGTGTGATAACCTAATGGGTCCTATTGACCTTTTGGTCACTGTTAAATGTAGAGCATATGAGAAACAGGTTTGTATTAATTCAACTTTGGATGTCTTAAGGAATTATACCCATTTCAGTAAAAGCTAGTTTAGATGGCAGTTACTGAAAGAATGCCGATAGTTAACAGAGACTCTCTAGTTTGAGATTAAGAAATGAATAGGGAGTAAAGAATCATTTTGGGCTTTTAATTCGGTAGAGGATTTTAATTTTTTTAACTTTAATTTCTCACAGAAGTCTTAAACATGACAGTGGCTCAGATTTTTCAGATCTGGGCACTGCTACTTTTATGTTGCAGATTCCTAAACTACAGTTCTAGGCCAGACTTCTTCTCTCAGCTGTTTGTGTTTCCTCCTGGATGTCTTAAGTCATCTCCAACTTACATGATCACTAAAACGTGCTTTTCCTCCCGTGAGCCACCATCTTCCATCCCAAGAAACCTGGAGATGATTCTATGCTCCT